ATGGATAAGATATACACTATACAGAGAGGGATTTAAAGGAGAGAACTGGGGTTTTAGAATTTATTTTTTCGCTTCATGTGTGCATGATAATATTTGGCCTTTTGCCTCATGTCGTTCTACTCGTCAATGGTGGGACCGTTATTTGCATATCTAACGGCTAGCGTTTGGATATAGGTTGATCTTGATTCATTTATATTCGGATTCGAATTGAACATCCGTCCGATTTTTGTAGAAGAGTCTAGAACTCCTGCCAACAAAACACATTCCAAACCCCTATGACCCTACCAAGTACCAAACCCCTATGGTATTACGTTGGTATGGTGTTAGATTGTTGGACTGGCCTAATGATCATCGAGAAAAAACACCCTAAAACAAATCAATATAGTGAACCTGAAAGCATTTCCCGATCCAATACAACTTATTATGTTAACGGAGACAATTGAAATAGAGGGAAAATGGGAAAAAAATACCTGAAAAAATAGGGTGAAAACCAAAACAGGCTTCATTTAATCATCTAATTGATTGTTCGATGATGAAAACAAAGAGGTCGAAAAAATCCATTCCTCCCTTCAATTTGAATTCGTGGGTTTTGGGCAAACCATTTGATACTTGACACATGTTGGCTCTAATCAATGAAGAGGTTCGTCAGGTAGGCTTGATGGGAGTAGGCCTATCAATGATACCCGAAAATCYGAGGCCCAATTCGACATCCAATTTGATTATCTTGGATTCAGATTACGTATTTATGTAATCGGATCAAATTCGAATGTTACAATCTACATCCAATTAATAATCAAATCAGATTTGGATTTGACCCAATATGATTTGATTAAAATTTGAATATGATTATATTATAATATTTATTAATTTTAATATATAAATTCTATATAATTATATTAAAATTTATAAAAATATTTTTTAAATATTATATTTTATATGAATTTATGTATGATAAATTTAGTATGTTATATTTATATTAATTTATTATATATAAAAGTTGAAAAATAAATAAATTTTTAATTTTACTAGTATTTTAAAGAATTTAAAGTTGAGTCGGATTAAATCTGAATCCGATATGAGTTTGTTAGAATTCGAATTCGAATCCGAGTCTTTAAATCGAATCGAATTTCGGATCAAATTTGAATGTAGGTTCTTAATATTTGGATTGGATGCAGATTTTGCTACATCCAATTAGAATCCGATCTGATTGCAGCCCTTTTGGGGAGAAGATCAGATAAGGCCTAAGAGGAGAGAGGAGTAGGTTCCATAGCGGTTTTATTATTATTTTATTTGTTACAAGCATGAACCATTAATTAAATAAAATTGGAAAAATAAAAAAACTATTATTATTTTATTTGCTTTGTCCAATTACAAGTGTTAACCGTTAATTAAATAAAGTTAGAAACTAAAAAAGGATAAAAATGGAAAGCAAAAATCAGGCTTTTTCACAAAACATTGTCGCCATCCTCATTTTTATAAATGGTACAAACAACATTCTCATTTTTTTAGTATGGTATAGAAATTTTTATGATTTTCTATATTTTTSTAATTTTTTTGCGTATTTCTTTGTTTTTTCTGTAATTTATATTGTTTTCTTCATTTTGAGGAGAAAGGTGTGTAGGATAAGAGAGATGTCATTTCTACTTCCTCCTTCCTACTATAAAGTAGGGGGAGTGGATAAGATATACAATATGCAGAGAAGGGTTTAAAGGAGAGAATTGGGGTTTTAGGATTTATGTCTTCGCTTCATGTGTGAATGATGACATTTGGCCTTTTGCCTCCTACCGTTCTGCTCGCCAATGGTGGGGCCGTTATTTGCATATCTAATGGCTAGCATTAGGATATATAGGTTAATCTTGATTCATTTATATTCAAATTCGAATCAAACATCCATTCGATTTATATAGAAGAATCCGGATCTCCTGCCAACAAAATGCATTCCAAACCCCTATGRCCCTACCAAGTACAACCCCTAYGATATCATGTTGTAGGGTGTCAGATTACCAGATTGGTCCAATGATCATCGAGAAAAAAACACCTAAAATGAATCAATATAATGAACCTAAGAGCATTTCCTGATCCAATACAACTTATTACGTTAACGGAGACAATTGAAAAAAAGTAGGGAGAAAAAAAAAAAAAAAAACTTCATTTAATCATCTGATTGTTCCCTGATGAAAATAGAGAGGTTGAAAAAATCCATTCTTCCCTTCAATTCAAATTCGTGGTTTGGGCAAACCATCCGATACTTGACACGTGTTGGCTCTAATCAATGAAGAGGTTCATTAAGTAGGTACTTCAGGAGAAGATCAGATAAGGCGAGGAATAGGTTTCATAGTAGTCTTATTGTTATTTTATTTGTTTTATCCAATTACAAGTGTTAACCGTTAATTAAATAAAATTGAAAAAAAAAACATAATAAAGGGTAAAAATGGAAAGTGAAAATCAAGCTTTAAAATAAAAAAATGATGAAGGGTAAAAAAGGAAAATGAAAATTAGGATTTTTTGACACGTGTTGGCTCTAATCAATGAAGAGGTTAGATAAGGCAAGGAATAGGTTCCACAGTAGTCTTATTGTTATTTTATTTGTTTTATCCAATTACAAGTGTTAACCGTTAATTAAATAAAATTGAAAAAATAAAAAAAAAAACATAACAAAGGGTAAAAATGGAAAGTGAAAATCAAGATTTAAAATAAAAAACATGATAAAGGGTAAAAATGGAAAGTACCATTTTTATAAATGGTACAGATACAGCTATATTATATTATATATTATATATTATATAAATATATATATAATTCAGGCATTTTAAGAGGGGATAGGATTGGAAATATGAAATCAGGGAGGGGTAGGATTGGAAATATAAATCAGGGTGTTGGACAATGGACGCTCATCCATTTCTCTTTTTTATAAATGGGTAAGATTTTTAAGAAATAAAGAATATAAGAATATTCCGTAGTGCCATGTACAAAATAGTTAGGCTCTTAAGTGAGGCAACCCTCCATGGGTGCCTTGTTGCTTAGGCATCATATTGACAACTATGGATACTACACCCAGGATCTTGGTTCCTCCAAGTGTAAAGAAGGTTGTTGCGATGCCAAACAATTGTTGAGTGAATTTCTGATGACTCCTGCAGGCCCTAGATGCAAAGACACTTGCTTGGAGAGGCTAGACTTGGTATCCAAACTTAATAGCTAGTTCAGAAGAGTCCCAAGATCTGAAAATTTATTGGTCAATGATCTTACCAAGGATGAAACTTGGTGGATGCAGATGTGTTGGAGGAATCTTCCGCTGTACTGGGGGAATGGGTTTCCAGGTAATCTCTATTTTTTCCTTTTGTATAATGTTGTTTCTTTTATTTGATCTTTAGTCCAGTTCCATCAGATTGCTCTCCTCATTAGCTGGGATGGATTGATGTTTGTTTCTTTTTCTGGTTTTTCTTGATAAAATCATTCAAATGATTAACACAGAAATAAAATACAACAAAGAAACTAGTTGACTAGGAACCAAGACCCATACCTGAAGCCTGAGGAGAAGTGGCAATTCCATAGAGGATCTGAAGCACTGCAATCTGACATTTAGGGGAGGCATCAGACAGAAGCCCCAAAAGATTATGAATAATGACTTCTGATTGCATCAAATTTCCTTCTCTGTCAGCAGAAGCTAATTCCCAATGACCTGGATTCGAAACTATGTTTGAAATTATTGATGCTGACAATTCCTTCACATCAGATGGAGCATCCAGATTCTTAAGAAGGATATCTGTAAGGGCGGGGAGCACAGCTGAATCAACAAGGATAGTAGCATTATCATCCAGGGTGGACAGATTATACAATGCTTGCAAGCTTGGTTTCCTTGCCTCTGGCTTGGACAACATGTCAACAAGTATTTTGGCACCTTGCCTAGCAATGAGCTCTTTACCGCTATTTGTCAAAGTCATCCTCCCAAGAATTGATGCCATATCTATTCTAACTTCATCAGTACCTGTTTCTCAGAAAGGCCACAGATTCAAAAGATTGTCCATCACAAGTAAAAAAGAAAAATGAAAAAGAGGAAGGTTCTTTAAATAACAAAATAAAAGAATGAGATTAAGGAAATAGAAGGTAATTCACAAGTGGTGACAAGTTGAAGTTGGTTGAAGCATAATGAACAAGGGATTGTATTCAGGCCCTATTGGAATGGGTGACTCCATAACAGTGGAACTGGCTGCAGTGATTTTTGGAATGCAAAAGGCTTTGGAGTTGGGGGTGAGAAAGTTGGTAGTTGAAGGAGATTCCAAAATAGTGATAAGATGGTTGAAACGGAACAAAAAGACTCCTTGGTAACTCCATAAATGAAATTAAAAAGTTTAAAAGATTTTCAAGGGATATGCATTTGGTAATTCAGTGGACTCCAAGATCGGCTAACAGTCTAGCAGACCAGTTAGCAAAACAAGGGGTTAACAGGGCACACTGTTTTTGGGCTCAGTTGTAAGATTAAAGAACTAAAGGTTTATAGTTTTTTGAGAGTCTTGATTTTACGGGGGGTAGATGAGGCTACCCATTATTTGTACTTGTTCTAATTTCATTAAGTAATAAAATTTGCTTCTGTTACTGATAAAAAAATGAACAAGGGATTTGGTATTTCGGGCAAGAGATCAAGGAAATCAAATGGATTATCAGAAATATGGAGATAACAGTTCATTGGATTTCTGGGTTAGAAAATGGGTTGCCAAACAAGGGGTCACCAGGGACAATTATTCTGGGCTCACTTGTAAAGAAGTAATATCATAAGAGATTAGGCTGGTTAGTCCAGCCTAAAAGCAGGGCAGGTCGTACCATCTCTAAATTCTTGTATATGTTTTATTCATTAAAGATTTCAGATTTCAGTTATTGATCACAAAAAGAAAAAAGAAACAAAAGAAAGAGGAACCAAAAGAAGGGGTGGAGAACAAGCCCTACCACACAACAAGAAAGAAACACAAAACAAGATAAAAGTTATGACTTATGAGATAGGTTATGGCATTTTCACACAAATTTTCTAGATAAAAGTTATCAATTTTAAACCTTATATTTTTCATTTTGATATATTAAGTGTATATCTTTTTCCAATTTGGGGGTAGGCTCAACCACCTGGTTGCAATGTGGCATGTCAACCATTTCTGCTATAGCCTCTAATCCAAAGCATCTTTATAACTGCTGGTAATAGTGGTAAATCACATATAACTTACCTTCACATAGCCGGGTAAGTAAAGGTTGAAATCTCCCTGCTGCTGCTAATTGATGAACATTATCCTCAATCTTTTCCATCCTCTTCAAGATTTCCTCAGCTAGGTTGGATAAAGAAGGATGCTCCAGATTCCCAGCCATGCTTGAGAGGAGAACTAAGGCTCCTTTCTCTGATGCAATTTTTGCACAATAATCTTCATCGCTTGAAAAGTCAAGTAATAACTTTACTGCATACTCTCTCTCTTTATCTGAGCTCCCAATAAGACCGTGAATAGCCAATCTAGTCACACCTTCTTCTAGCATTTTTAGCTTAAAAAAAAAACAAACTTTATCAGATATTGGCTGCAAGAATGCAAGTATCATATATTAATTCTGCAACATAATAAATACAATTTAAATTTCATAAAATTAAGACACAAGCACTTCAGCATGGAGAGCAATACAGAGAAACAGTTAAGTGGGTCCCCATGTCATAACCTATCTGGAAATGGAGATCTATGCATAAAAGTTATAAGTTATAACTACTGAGGAATCATAGGTATAATTGGATTTGCAATTGCCATGTTTGTCCATGAAATTAGAAAGCAACTGATGCATTTCACTGATCAAAGGGAAAGAGTGAATCTCTCACTATCAGCTTTGACTTTGCAAGTTTCTAATCACTCACCATGGCTATAAAGATCTAGCCCAATTATGGGTACAGGTACTGTTTCTGTTAGTACAGCTCTTATTTTTCAAAACTCAAGACATGTATACTGATAGTGTTGAATTCACTATGTCAATGCCACATCATAATTATATTATGCCAAATTTGCTCAGATTTATTTCAAGGTTCTTCATCATACAATAGTTATACATCTCCAAACAAAAAATGGAAAAGAACACTGTAAGCAGTTTAGTAAAATAGAGAACAAGAAATCATATTAAAAGCACTATTATCAAACTCAGATTAGACCAGACAGACTAGAAATAGGCAGCTAAAATGGTTCTTCAAATGCCCAGTTCTTAGAAATGTTGTTTTAGGCCTATTTTAATGCAAAAGAGCTTTCAGATAATTGGAACCATTTAATATTTGTTTTCACATTTTTTGTTTCAGCAAGTAAAGCAGTCAAACCAGACAGTTGGATCATTTGACCAATGACCTAGTAGACAAAACAGTTTTATACCCATTCAGAGTGTGACAGTGTTTATGAAGTATCAACCTATTATAGGGTACCAGCATCAGTATTTTATCATGTTCATATAGGCACACTAAACATGCTTAAGAATCTGGATCATACATATTGACTTAGTAAATAGGAGGCTATATAAAGTAATAGTGCTATAGGATCATGAGCAATGGTCATCCTCAACAGCCATGAGACAAATTTATCTTATGATCAAAAAATTTCCCAGCTTTGGATGAGCACAACATGCTTCCTAGAAATGCAAGAGCYCCGATATTCATCGGTAGTAGTACACATCTTTTCAACATTAGAAGATAGCTTCTGTTGCTTTTTGTGTCTTGAATTCAGCTTCATGGGACATCTTGTTAAATCTTTTTTTTTTATTGTAAATGGTAAGTTTCATTAAAATAGTTCAATACAACAGTGTCAACCACTCAGAGCATGAGTGTTGACCCTATACAAATCTCAAATCTTACAATACAGCCCAAAACAATCTTTCCCTGAGAGTTCCCTGCTTTGCCAAATTGTCAGCCACAAAATTGGCTGATCTCCTTACCCATTTGAAAACTACTCCCACTTCCCTTGCTAGGCAAAGTATTTCCCTCATCTGTTGTCTAAGGGTCCATACACCCAAGCCTTTTTCTGCAGCCATCCTATTAGAAGTTTAGAGTCTCCCTCTACCTCAAGGATTTGATATCCCCATTCCTTGGCCAATCTCATACCTTGAAGTAGAGACATAATTTCAGCCCTTAAGGAATCTCCCACGCCGATTGGGCCAGAATAAAGTGCTTGCATCATGCCCTCCCCATCCCTGAAACTCCTCCAACTCTAGAGGGCTCTGGGTTTCCCAATGAGCGTCCATCGAAATTCAATTTTACTCTGTTACA